AATCCTTATATATATATATATATATATATATATATATATATACAATTTACCTGTTAAGTAGCACTCGTTTCCTACGTAACAAAATTATAAAGAAAGCAATCAAAAACACAAAATCAGAAACCAGAAAATGTTACACTTTTTGGCTACGATGTCCACGCATGGAATCTCATAAAATTCATAAGATTCTGTTTACTATTTTTTTTTAACTTTGATTTAGTTTGAGCATTTTACCAGGGATTGTATTTCAGTTGTTGGCAGCTTCATACTTTTTGACCCGATGTCCTCAATTCACTCAAACTTGAGATCATAATAATCAAAATAATAATAATAATAACAAAAAATCTTGGCTTTTAAAAGAGAAAAATGGGAAGGGGCAGGGATCAATTAGTATTACTCAACAAGTTGGTATCTGATTCATCCACTAACAGGTTGGCTTGACTGAAAAGGTGTGGACTAGCAAAACACTGACTTCGTCACGTCAGTCACTGACAGTACTGGGAACCTGTAATACAGTGATCCAGATCAAGCCATTTCTACCCTGTAAGACCCCCTTCCCCCCACATTGCCAGGATCATACATACTGTTTACCTCTTCTCTCTCATAACATATAGTACTTGTATGATGAGAGGAAATACCATAGGAATAAATGACTTATAAAGTATGAAGTTTAAAATTCATCATAATCTCAAATAAATCTACAAAATAAATATACACATCAGTAGTCAAAATATCAGTGATTCTGTGGCTAAAAATAATGAAAAGTCACACAATAAAATTAATCTAACTTCATCCCCACTTGGTATTTTCCAGTGACTGAAATATCATGCCATCTGCTGCATCGCAATCACACGGAGGACAAGCATCAACTATTACTAAGTCAGCAACAAGAGAAATTCATCTGATAACTTGATGCATCGTAAAACACGTACAAAACAGTAATAATATTACATTTTTACCTCGCAGGCATGCATTTCATTTCATAATTTTAAAATTTAGAATAAATATGATTTCATTTTAAATAAACATGGTTATTGATGTATAAAGCGAAGCTTTCGCGGCGACTGAAGTTGACGAAAGACTCTCGGGTTACAAGCCACGTCAGGTGGCAGAAGATATGGTTTACTCACCGCTAGGCCACCTGATGCGGCTTGTAACCCGAGAGTCTTTCGTCAAACATGGTTATTGTTCGCCTGTGACAAATAAAAATGTGAGCGTTCATTTTTGTAATGAGCCACTTGTTACACTGAGCAAGTATGGTCACTACAGCACTACTGTGACTTTGCCCCATATAAAAAGGTCACCATGATACAGTGAAACTTTATCAGGACAACTCTCATTACAGAATGTTCTCATTTTTATGATCGTATCTCCAGGATACAAAATGCAAACTTTGTCTATCAGCAGTGCACTTAATATTCTCACCCCTGAATTAAACACTCAACTTGTTAATTACACTGCATTTTAATGACAATTTGTCAAGCATTTACTTTGAGACGGTGTTTCAAATGTGAATAGTCTATGCATAAACAGATACATCAAAAAAATATGTGATTAACAGAATTTATAAGAAAAGTCATTATCCAGCACACTGATGTAAATGGAGAAACAAATGTTGAGAACGATATTGTAACTTGGAGTGAAAAATTGGCTTAAACTGTAGTTAATGTCTTTAATCACTCTCGACTTCAATCAAATCTATTACTTGTGGTTGCTGCACCATCTATCAAAATATAAACTATATTTTCGGTGCATTCTGGGTAACTCTACCATGCATTAGAACTTTTTTTTTACTTAAATGAGAGTTACTATTTTTGTCCCCTTGAAAGTTGTACTAATGAAATTCCACTGCACTGCAATATAATTTCACCTGAATATTCATTCAAAAATAACACTGGGACATTTTCCATTGCAGACCCAATTGCTTACCATGTCCCAGGTACGTTACACTAGAGTTACGGCGCAGAAACGGTTAGCTGGTATCTCTGTCATTAGTTTCAGAACACTTTACAGTCCTTGAGTATGCAAGTCAGTTCTGTTAAGTATAAAGAGAAATCATTTCTATGACATGATTGTGGGTGCTGGAATTCCACGAGAATCTGAATTTGTAGTTTTTTTGATATGGTAACGGACAATGTCCAAGACATTATTTTCCAATTTGTATTATGTTTGTGAGAATAAGATAAGCAATAATGATAGAGGCAGCACTTAACAGCAAATGCCTGTCGAAAATAAAACATCCGTAAATATATCGTTAGTATACAAATAATTCTGATCGATAATCTTAAAAATCCAAGATCATAACCAGAAATGAGGGTGGTGTCAAATAAGCATATCTGGTTGTTGTCAAATTCTTGCATAATGCTAAAACCTCTTAGAATAAATATAAATTCCTTCACATTGCAGTTACTCGTTGGTAATGTGACTTTGTTTTGAGCACAGTTCTGCAGTTTGTTTATTAAACTTTATACTTTAATTATATGCTTAAATCTGAGGTCCTTGTAGATGACTACCTGGTGACAACTTGTGTATGGAATCAAAGCTAGGACACATGTCAAATGCAGAGGTGGCCAAACGCATCTCTGCATGATCAGTCGTCATACGTGGGATGTAAATTGTTCACCACTGCTGACTGACGTCATGCACTGTACTTTTTAAATGATACATCAGAAAAAACTTATCAGCTAGTAGCAGAAGATACATTTTATTGTACTGGAATTTTAACTCCCTATGTTACGGTAGAAACACGCATTTGTCTGTGCTTAAAATTTTTCATTCATTATATGATGCAACATAATGAAAAAAACTCAGAACAGAACCGAAATTAAAAGTACAAACAAAATTAAGAAATGGTATCAACAGAAATAAATATGAGTTCACATAATACAGGAAGACCCCTGGCTGTTATCATGGCCAGGCCTACTAGAAATCTATGGCTTTTATTTAATTTATTACTGATATGTCACATAGATTGATGTCTTCTTACCGTGTCACCTAGATACCAAGACACGAGCGGATTCATCATCTTAGCCTGTATCATATGAAAATATGGGATTTATATCCAGACTTTGTGGGGTTAATACTCTTGCAGTATGCTGGTGTGACATATGACCAGCTGGAGACTGTGCCTGCGTAAGCTGTTATATACAGCTGATAAAGGCTAAGGTCATTAGCAATTTTAAACAGGACATATATGTCTCCTGAGTAACATACACATCTTTCTGACATAATAACAATTACAAAGAAAATTACAGCTGTTCCAGCTCCGTGTTCACTTTTCATCAGTTATTATCGAACATAACCTCATGTAGGAAAGTTAAATAAGAGATATTTTGTCTCAGTTATATGTAGATACGTTGCCTGATGTTGATGACTCTGATACAGACATGGATAAAAGTTCTGAATTACAGGCTGCTGTACACTGCGATGATGAAAAACACGTGCATGGCACAAAACTTATAAAATATGTGATGAACATTTCTTTGAAATTAAAGACTTTTAATGGAGATAACTGTCTTCTGGGTTGTCCTGATGATGGAGGCAGCTAGGACCACTGAGACGTAAGTAAACTTCTTCCAGACTACATGGCGCTACAACCCAGAAGACAGCCATCTTTGTACTCGTTACTGTGAGAACCTCAAATTCTACGGGTTTTAATATACACATCAGTAACCCTGAGTGTGTTTCTGAAATGGTGAGTGCAGAAATTGGTGGCAGTCTCACACGACTATTTACTGATCAGTCTAATCTTTATCACAGTAACATGCACAACGGACAGTGTGCTCTAAAACATTAAAGTGACCCAGCACTGCAACAGAAGATATTAAAATATTTTTAGAGTTGTTATTTCACATGAAACAGGTCAAAAAATGTTTTGAGGTGCAGACATTGTAGATCAAAAAGGTAATAATCAGTTCTAAGAAAAACTTTCAAGTGGTCTGAAATAACAGTGTGATGATCTACCAAACATGTTCTTTAATGTATTTCTTTTAGTAGAAGATTTAAAACAAAATCTAAACAGTGCATTTGTGCATGAGGTCATGAAGGTGTGGGTATCAGAAATGATGGATCTGAGTCTGACAAGTGTGGCCCTCCTGAGAAAAAAAAAGTGCCAGGGCCCAGGCAGATTATCAGGAAAGGACAATACAATGGTTATTTCCTGTTTGATGATGCTGCTGCCAGTAGCTGACAATATAAAGTGTCAGATAATTAATGAATAATGACTGGAAGTGGTGATGGCCTAATTTAAGACATCCCAGGTGTATGATCTGAAGCTTTCACGGTGACTAAGTATAATGAATTCTTCTTGGGGTACCAGCAGTATAAGATAGTTGAATGGAGTACCCTAAGGACGAGAACGAAGATGCTTCTCGAAACGTCAGTGTTTTCTCCATTAAACCACCTGAGACAGCTGGTAGCCCGAGAAGAATTCATTGTGCATGATCCCAGAATTTGTTGGGAGGGTCTGAAGAAAATACAAAACCTTTGTCTATGAGCCTGAGGTCTCCAAAATATGATGCACTCAACTGTGATGATGGAGTACTTCACGCAGAATATAATTATATATAAATGTTATGTTTTTCACCTACATACTGAAACGTTGGTTAACATCGACCAGACTACACAGCGCAATAACCCAGAAGACGGATATCTACATAAAGGTTAATTATTTTCAGATGTGTGACTGAAGAATACTAAATTGTCTGCATGAACTCTTCTCAGTATCAGGCCACATGTGAGTAATGAAGCCTCCAAGGATAAAATATTTAAATTACTGTACACCATCTACAAACTGAGGGTTTAATTAAAGGAACACCCCAGTCCTCAGTGCATTTAAAGGCAACATAGTTCCTGACTCCCTTGCAAGTTTTGTAATGCTGCTCCAAAATGAATGTAATTACTGTTGAAACAGACAAGGCAACCAATGGTATAATGTTTTTTCATCACTGTATGTATTATTTCTAATGTACTGTTTCTATAAATTGGTATCCACTGTGTTATTTGTACATATTCTCTGAATATTTTGCAGCCAAAAATTGAAGTTTATATAAAATATGAAAGAATTTATGAAAAAGGAAGCATCAAGGGCATTATTCAGATTCTTGGAGGTATTATAAGTACTTTTTAAATATCTCCAGTAGATCACTACTGTCATTCCTTAACACTACAACCCTCTGTCAGCATCATGCAAACTGATGCCTTCCTATACCATGCGAACTCTATACATATTCTACCGTTAAAAGTTAACTTAATTCTATTATTAATATATTTACCAAAATCCTATATTTTTTTTTTCAATACTGTACAGAGTGAAACACCAGAAATGGTCTGCAGGTCGCTACTGACATTGTATAAAACATTACAATTTACATACAGCAGTAGAAGAAGGCTGAATGTATCAGATTCACATCCAGGGAACTCCCTTCTGTAACAATTAATAAAAATATAAACGTGCAATGCAGGTAATGAAGAGAGGTTACCTCATTTTTGCAATATCTGGCATTATACACACATGCACACAGCAACAACATCTGAAGTCTGAAAGAGATGAACACGCAGTTGAAACTGCTCACACAAGACCACAGTTCTGTGCATCACAGAAAACAAAATGTTGGCACGTAGGAAGTACACTCATAAAAAAAATACAATAAAAATGTATAAGGAGAAATCATAAAAATAATAATAGAAAACATACAAGAAGTTTGACTTCCTAACATAAGGATGGACGAGTGTAAGACGGAACACTGCAGTCATCACCTTACCTAGAACAAGAGACAAAGAGATCTTTTTATTTCTTGCAGCTTACAATGTGAGGCTTATGGTGGTGAAAAATGATGAATCAGACTCTGAGTGATGGAATATTGTGAGTTACTACTCAGGTATTTGCCTTGACACAGGTTAATTGCCAGGGCTCAGAAACATTCTAAAATGAGATTCAGATGAATTACTTTGGAGTTCACTAGTTAAAGCAGAATGAAAGCTACATGGGGCTAAGCAGTTAAATGCTTTGTAAATTATCGTTCATTTGGCGAGATGGATACGAAATTAATATTTATGTACTGTTACCGTACATAAAGTGCGGTACTAGGAATGACGAAGACATTCTGTTGGCGTGCAGTACGTGCACCATCAGTCTCATGAGAGTGAAATGTCGTCCAACATTTTCATAAATATTGTGATATAAATGCATTTATCCCAATCTGTTGAGTGGAAAATGTCATCAGTGAAAGTTATCACAGAAATGAAACGGGGTAAAGCTCATGGCTATGACCGTAACCGAATGGCAGTAACGAGGACTTTGGTCCTGAAGTCAGCTTGTGTGCTTGCATGGGCAACTTTCCATTATGCTTTGTTATCACAGTTTCATTCCATTAGCTGCTCAACAGTTCACATCCTATGCTCCTTACAGTGTCATGGATAACAGATGAGTATCACTAATGACTTTAATATGATTAACATAAGCCATTCTCTTAAATTATATGTATATACTTATATAAATAAAACAATGTTTGCCAACATAATGGACAAAATTAATTCAAATAGAACCATACGATAAGAATTTTGGATAAAGAAGCTCAATAACACTGTCATATTGTAAATAATGCAGGAATAAAATTGACTTTTCACGGCATTTCAGCTATGTCTAAATTATCTGGAAGCTACAGTTTGGCCACCTCTGATCAAATGCATACAACCTTTCAATCACACCGACCCTTCAAAACACTTTACAACACGGCATGATTATACACATCTGGAAGCAGAACGAGTGGTTATGTGTTGGTGGGGATCTGAGGTAATTTGGTCGAGTGATGAGAGTGACGTGAATGGACTGTGCTTGCTCTATCGTCAGAAAGCTGAACTCTAAGTTTGTTGGTGCTTAAACCACCACTGCCGATCGTGGTAGTTTTGCTTGAATTTCTTGATGATGATGATGATGTTCGAAGACCAGAAGACTGGGTGTCACTTTTGTCGGCAGGGGGCCTAGGAAGTCGTCTTCTGAGCCAAGCATGCCGTAGGGCTGCAGCAGGGGTCATCCTTGCATCTGGATCCCATTCTAAACACCGTCGGATAAAATCCAAAAACAGAGGGTCATCACATCCTTTGAGAGCTCGTTTGAGCTCTTTGGAACCTGGAGGTCCTCGTGTCTTGCCTCTTCTAGACAGTCCCCCTCCCAAAACTGTAGTTCCATCAGGAAGAGTGGTAGCAGTGCAGTATCTTGGATATCCTTTGGAACTAATGAAGTTCTTTGAACGCTTTGATACATCCAAAAGTTTCTGTGGTGGCATTCCTAATAACTCAATGACGCAGGCTAGCTGATCACCTTCATCTTCACCCGGCAGTAGGGGGAAACCAGTAAGCAGTTCTGCCAAAATACATCCCAAACTCCACATATCAATGGGCATACCATAACGTGCTCCAAGTATCACTTCTGGTGCCCGGTAAAACCGGGACTGTATGTAAGTGTAAACACGCTGGTGTTCGTAACAACTGGATCCAAAATCGATTACCTGAAACATCAGTCTACTGTTATTATACTTAAGTTTTAGTTATGGGATGCTTTTTATTTCATAACCAACTATTGAAGATGACATTCTCCTTAATGAAGATTACATCTGACGTGAACATAACGAGGCTGAGTCTCAAAGAGAACAAAATCATTATACTGTTTTACATCTGAATTTGAATTGCTCATATTCGGGTGTTTGATGTGCACTTCTATTACTGATGCTTTATACAGGTAATCTTAGTTATTTTTTTGGTTGTGATTATATCTCTTATGGTTTAATTTTGGTTTTGTCTTTGTTTATTTTAATATATTATTATTTATGTGGTTTTAATTATGAGTTTTATTTTGTTATTGTTTTTTTGGTTTTTTCATTAACTGACTGAAATGTTTATAGATCACAGTATATTCTTCTACATAATAGTGGCATACCTTAAGAGGAATTCAGTTTATTGTGCGCGCGTGTGTGCGTGTGTGTGTGTGTGTGTGTATATATATATATATATATTGTCGAAGGAAACAGCTGTAAATACATCTTGTGAAAGAATGAAGTTTACAACTCTGCTTAGTTTTGTTTGCTTTGTCTGTTTTCAAATATGTGACCAAAGAGTATTAATTTATTGAACAATGTTAATCTTCAGATATCTAATAAATAGTTTGCTCTGCCATGTTTCTTCATTATCATAATTTTAGGCACATTAACAATTAATGAGTGTAAAAGTGTTCCTATTAGTTTCTGGTATCTGTCTGTCTGAATGTTACAATTCAAGAACTGTAGGATTTGAGGTTTTCACAGCAGTGAGTCTGAAGATGGCTGTCTTCGGGGCTGTTGCACCATGTAATCTGGTAGGAGTTTACTGACATTTCAGAGGTCATTGCTGCCTCCATCATCGCCCTGATTATGGAGACAGCAAAGACCTCTGAAATGTTGGTAAACTTCTACCAAACTACATGGCACAACAGCCACGAAGACAGCAATCTTCAGACTCAAGAACTTTTGAACTGATTTTCATGAAATATTATATTGCAGAGTTTTACCAGTATTTGTGACAACACTTCAATTTTGGTTAAAATCAGACAAAAATGGGCACTTTGCACTAAGATCTACAC